AGCAAGGACATTGAAGATGAAACGTGGCTGGGTCTTCCAACATGACAATGATCCCAAACATACCGCCCGGGCAACGAAGGAGTGGCTTCGTAAGAAGCATTTCAAGGTCCTGGAGTGGCCTAGCCAGTCTCCAGATCTCAACCCCATAGAAAACCTTTGGAGGGAGTTGAAAGTCAGTGTTGCCCAGCGACAGCCCCAAAACATCTAGAGGAGATCTGCATGGAGGAATGGGCCAACATACCAGCAACAGTGTGTGCCAACCTTGTGAAGACTTACAGGAAACGTTTGACCTCTGTCATTGCCAACAAAGGATATATAACAAAGTATTGAGATGAACTTTTGATATTGACCAAATACTTATTTTCCACCATAATTTGCAAATAAATTCTTTCCAAATCAGCCAATGTGATTGTCTGGATTTTTTTTCTCATTTTGTCTCTCATAGTTGAGGTCTACCTATGATGCCAATTACAGGCCTCTCTCATCTTTTTAAGTGGGAGAACTTGCACAATTGGTGGCTGACTAAATACTTTTTTGCCCCACTGTATATGAACACACTTCATATGTTGGAAAGATATGGTGGAAAGATTGAGCTCTTATTCACAAAAAATGGCATTAATAATATATTTTCATTAAATTTAAGTTTGAATTAAAATTGAAAATTTAAATAGAATTTGGGGACATCAAGTTCTAAAAGACTGACAAGCGTAGGAAATATGTCAGCATTAAGGCGGATGGTAAAATTCTATATATAATATAAAATTTAAGTATATATATAAATTAATAATAATGAGAGAATAATAATAATAATGAATAAAAATTTAAATTAATAATTCAATATGATTGGTGATATCAGTGGATTATAAAGAGAAAAAAAAAAATATATATATATATATACATAAAGGAATAAATTACTTAATACCTGTGGGACACTGAAAAAGTACATTCATTACCATAGATTACCATAAAATTCGAATTGGAAGGTCAAAAGTGGATACCTGGATTGACAGATTGAAATCATCCATTTGGGTTCAGTACACATAGCTAGGAGGCATTCGGCCACTAAGTGTCAGTGTTACAGTCTGTTTAGCAGGCCTGACAGTGGAAATGCTGGAATAAATATTGCCAAGCGACTTCAGTGGAACGCACGCCAACTTCCAGGTGCTAGTGCGCATGCGCCGTGCGTTCCAGCGGCCATTACACAGAATTACTTGCAGGAAGGTAGTGTCCATCGGCACCTGCATTACTAGTTAACACCCATAATTCCACCAGCATTAATGGACAAATTGGAATGGGCACTGGCCAGAGAACAGCCACAGAGCAAATAAAAATAAATTACTAAAAAACGGGGATTAACTAGTGGACCGCACGCCGACCCACTGAGCATGCGCCGTGCGTACCCACGACCATCTCTATGAAGGGCTTCCCAAAGAGGACTAGCGCCATCTACTGCCCACACTATAGAAGTCATACTAATCCGCTGATTAAAACAACACAATACTTCCACAAAGGTGGACCTAAAAATTGGAAGCTAACATGTACTATAATATCAGAGAACGCTAATCACCAGTATAAAGTGCTGAATTAATACAACGTGAAGAAATTAGTAAAAGTAAAAAAAAAATATATATATATATATTTATATATAAATAAAATTAAATACTTAATCAAAGGCAAAAAAGGCACAATAAACAATAAAAGTTAATATAGGGAAGAAAAATGACAAGTCTCTGGTCATCTCCTGTACTGTGTCCGCAGTCTTTGGTCATCCCCTGTACTGTGTCCGCAGTCTCTGGTCATCCTCTGTACTGTGTCTGCAGTCTCTGGTCATCCCCTGTACTGTGTCTGCAGTCTCTGGTCATCTCCTGTACTGTGTTCGCAGTCTCTGGTCATCCCCTGTACTGTGTCCGCAGTCTCTGGTCATCTCCTGTACTGTGTCCGCAGTCTCTGGTCATCTCCTGTACTGTGTCCGCAGTCTCTGGTCATCCCCTGTACCGTGTCCGCAGTCTCTGGTCATCTCCTGTGCCGTGTCCGCAGTCTCTGGTCATCCCCTGTACCGTGTCTGCAGTCTCTGGTCATCTCCTGTACTGTGTCCGCAGTCTCTGGTCATCTCCTGCTCTCTGTCCGCAGTCTCTGGTCATCTCCTGCACTCTGTCCGCAGTCTCTGGTCATCCCCTGTACCGTGTCCGCAGTCTCTGGTCATCCCCTGTACCGTGTCCGCAGTCTCTGGTCATCCCCTGTACCGTGTCCGCAATCTCTGGTCATCCCCTGTACCGTGTCCGCAGTCTCTGGTCATCCCCTGTACCGTGTCCGCAGTCTCTGGTCATCCCCTGTACCGTGTCCGCAGTCTCTGGTCATCCCCTGTACCGTGTCCGCAGTCTCTGGTCATCCCCTGTACCGTGTCCGCAGTCTCTGGTCATCCCCTGTACCGTGTCCGCAATCTCTGGTCATCTCCTGTACCGTGTCCGCAGTCTCTGGTCATCCCCTGTACCGTGTCCGCAGTCTCTGGTCATCCTCTGTACCGTGTCCGCAGTCTCTGGTCATCCCCTGTACTGTGTTCGCAGTCTCTGGTCATCCCCTGTACTGTGTCCGCAGTCTCTGGTCATCTCCTGTACTGTGTCCGCAGTCTCTGGTCATCTCCTGTACTGTGTCTGCAGTCTCTGGTCATCTCCTGTACTATGTCCGCAGTCTCTGGTCATCTCGTGCACTCTGTCCGCAATCTCTGGTCATCTCCTGTACTCTGTACGCAGACTCTGGTCATCTCCTGTACTCTGTCCGCAGTCTCTGGTCATCTCCTGTACTGTGTCCGCAGTCTCTGGTCATCCCCTATACTGTTTCCGCAGTCTCTGGACATCTCCTGTACTGTGTCCGCAGTCTCTGGTCATCCCCTGTACTGTGTCTGCAGTCTCTGGTCATCTCCTGTACTGTGTCCGCAGTCTCTGGTCATCCCCTGTACTGTGTCCGCAGTCTCTGGTCATCCCCTGTACTGTGTCCGCAGTCTCTGGTCATCTCCTGTACTGTGTCCGCAGTCTCTGGTCATCCCTGTACTGTGTCTGCAGTCTCTGGTCATCCCTTGTACTGTGTCCGCAGTCTCTGGTCATCCCCTGTACTATGTCTGCAGTCCATTGGTTCAGAATATTTTTTTCTTGTTTTCCTCTTTAAAAACCTAGGTGCGTCTTATGGTCAGGTGCGACTTATGGAGCGAAAAATACGGTAATTAGATTGAATGCTGATGTGAAAACTAAATTTCATTCATGCCTACATGAAAAACAGAAAGCAGTTGCTTCCTGATGTATGTACCCTCTAAGATGAAAACAAAATGACGGAAATAAAAAACTGACAGGATCAACAAGAATAGTTATTTTTTTAGTTTTATTAAAGTATGGTTGCCAAAACCAATTCTGTGCGACAATATATGTAACATTGTTGTAGAGTTTTTTTTAAAGTTTTTCAAGCAGAAAAAAATGCTGAACACTCTTAAATGCTCCTAATTGTTACTAAACGCTACTAAAATGCTACTAACAGATTTTTTCTATCTTTTTTTTTTATTTTACATGCACTGTAAAAATGCTAATAAAATGCTAACTCTCTTAAGCACTACTACCAGTGTTTATCCAGCATTTTTTCCCAGCAGTTTTTGAGCTTAAAAAACTTCTAGTGTGCATGGAGCCTAAAAATAACAAAAGCTGCTACCCTAGGAAACACAGAAATCAGACGCCCCATCCTGAGAGGCTGAGCCAGCTGCCAGTCAGGCATCTAGGTGGATCCGGACATTGAAATAGGGATCTTGCATAGCCTGGACCAGCTCTGTGATGTCAGCCAACAGTGGGCATTAGCCCACTGTTAGTAGAATCTGGGTCACAGGAGTGCCGAAATAAGTGCTCTCCTGTGAACCAGAAGAGATGTGTGGCCTAAACAAACCTTGGCTATACTTACCCTTTAAAATTTACCTATGTACTTGTCCTGTATTCATCATGCTTGGCATTTGTATTTTTTCTTTTGACCCTGTATTCTCTGTCATGATTCTCTTATGTATTTGACTTTACTCTGTAGCGATTGTACCATTGATATCAACAATAAAGAGCAGTACTGGTTGTAAAAAAAAAAATCTACTTCTGTGTTTTTCTAAATATCTCAATCTTTTGACAAATTTCTAGGTTCTACGTGAGGTCTGATGCTATACCTTATTCTATTTTTGTATTCCTCCCATTATATAGCACCTTCTCTGCCAATAAGGGTGTGGATGATATGAAGAGTGTATCTAGGCCAATAAGACACAGTCCAGCTGAATGGCCGCACATTATTAACCACTTCAATACAGGGCAATTTTAACTCCTTCCTGGCCAGGCAATTTTTCAGCTTTCAGCACTGTCGCACTTAGAATGACAATTGCGCGGTCATACAACACTGTACCCAAATTAAATTTTTATCATTCTGTTCACACAAATAGAGCTTTCTTTTCATGGTCTTTGATAACCACTGGAATTTTCTATTTTATGCTAAATAAACTAGAAAAGACCAAAAATTTTGGAAGAAATAACAAGTTTTTCTTTGTTTTCTGCTGAAAATTTTGCAAATATATAATTGTTCTTCATAAATTTATGACAAAATGTATATTGCTACATTTCTTTGGTAAACATAACCCAAATCAGAGTATAATATTTAGTCTGTAGGAAAGTTAAAGTCCACAATCTATTGTATACAGTATATCAAAAAATCGATCCATTCTGCTGTACTGACTGCCTATCTAATTTCTTGAGGCTCAAAAATGTCAGGACAGCACAGATATCCCCCAAATTACTACTTTTTGGAAAGTAGACAGTCTGAAGTATAAAGTATTTAGTATGGCGAGTTTTTCGAAGTAATTTTTTGTCATACTTTTTTGGAAAATAAAGAATTTTAAAAAAAAGTAAAGCGGTAACACCGAGCTACACTTGGGAATACCATACAGCATTGCTTAGGGATTCCTTGCAGCACTTACCTTGTCCTGCACTCCCACGATGTGTCCCCTGCTGCATCCCCGGCCATCTCCTCCAGTCAATGCCGACATCTGTCTTCTGGTCCCTGCGAGCGTGGGACATACGGGGGCCGGAACCGGCGGGAAATTTGAAAATGTTAAAAACTGACATTCACTAAATACACTAAAATCACATAGTGAAACATTACTGTTTCAAAGCATTTCACATACATTTTGTCCCGAGTGCTTTGTCCTGTGCCCTGCCTGCATTTTTACTGTCCTTTCTGCCTGGAAACTTAGAAAAGTGCATGGCGTCCAAAAAGCGTCCCATTAGGTCAAAAGCGGTTTTAGACCAGCTAGAATACAGCAATAGTAAATCAGAACCACTTGCAGAATTGAGTGATAATGATTTGTGGAGAAATTTGTCATCAGACAGTGAAAACGATTCTGCGACTGAGCTCAGTGATGTGCGAACTTGGCGCTATATTTCAAATTTCAGTGTTTTTGGTTTGATTATATTATTGAATTAAATTTATTATTATATTTATATTTTCTTTGATTATATATTATATTATAATTTGTGATTTCATGTTTCAAGTTTAATCCTACCCAGGATGTTTACTACACTCTTGTTCGGACAGATTTCAGTGAGTTATTCCTAAAAATTACAGGCCTACAATAAAAAAATGACATATTTCCATGCAAAAAAATGTACCGCTTTCAGCCCAGAAATATGGACATAATCAGACTGCTAGGGAGGTTACTGGTCTCAATCCATTAAGTCAGTCAATTAGAGTTCACCCTTTGGACATAGGTATGGTCACCTTAGTAACATCAACTTGTAAAATTTAAAGCTGTGCAGCAGACATAGGGGTGATGGATTGCCCTTACAATCCACAATCCCTATTTCTGCTGTACTGCTTTAAATTTTACAAGTTGGTCTTCTTTCTAAGGGAGAGATCATCGCCTAGGGGGGCTCATTTGCCCTTCCTGGGCATTCTGTCATGTGCTTGTCGAGTGGAAGCCCCAGCTTGGAGGCTGGAGGGCCTGGAGCCAATGTTTGCTGTCGAAGGTGGACTGAGAGGGCTGTGGTCTAAGTATCTAGTCTAGTATCATTCGGAGAAACTGAAGGATACTGGTAGGAGGCCACCATCTATCCAGAGACGTTCTGTGAGTACAGACGGGGAGGGATCTTAGAGGCTAAGTGCTATCACTTCTCCTGTGTGCTAGGACATCAGCTGTGTTTGCTAAGAAGTTTCTTCTGTCCTGAAGAGCATATCTTATCCATTCCCTGGGTGGGAGGCTGTTGCTTTGACTGTTCACCGAAAAAAGGCTCAATCTCCTCAATACTGCCTTGCAGAACCTATCCACTTTCTGCTACACAGGGACAGTGTTCATGGTTACAAGAGTTTTGACTTTCAAGCAAGTTTCAGTGTCCTCAAATTTCATCATAGCAAGTTATGGGAGTAACCTACTTTCCCAATCCCCATCCAAGTTCAACCCTTTAAAAACACCAAAACTAACAACACTGTTTCTTGAGCATAGAGAGAAAAAAGTGCATATGTCTGGCTGCGGGGTAATAGTGGGAAAAGACCTTGGGACCTACAATGTGCTGGCCTCTATGGAGGTTCTGCTACAATAACATGACCAGGCCAGCTACTGTATATGACTGCTGTTTCTGGACAATGTTCATTCACTGGATAACAGCTTAGATCTGATTTGAGTGAGACCAAATGTTGGGAGATGGGGAACTGTTGTGTCTTTCTCCTGATGAAAATTTGGCTGCATAACAACATCCTGGACTTGGTGCTCCAACTCAATGGGATGCTACTCTTCTGAGCAGATCGTAATTATTTGTTAGGGCGAACTCAAGGTGGTGGACTTTGTATTTACATTAACAAAAGTTGGTGCACAATGTTTTTCCTGGTTGGTAGTCACTTCTCTGAGGCAGTAAAATATCTAACGGTGAAATGCTGGCCTCATTATTAGCTATAGGAGTTTACAGTAGTACTTGTTGTGTATGTTCCCCCCAGCACTAAGGCTAATGATGCACCGAAAAAGCTTCATGACAATATCAAGGCACACCTAGGCTCTCAGTGTGATTGCTGATGATTTTAATCATGATAACTTGACTTACTTTCTGCCAAAGCTTCTTCAGCATGTCACCATTGCCATGTCAAGTGAACATGCTTGATCAAGGATATACAAATAGATGGCGGGCATAGAGCTATCCCTTGTCTACACCTAAGCATTTCTAACCACATTTTCATTTTCATCATGTTGATCTGTCTACTGCCTCTTCAGTCAGGAATCCAACAACAAAGACTATTACGGTGTGACCTTAAAGTGATTGTAAACATCAGACATGAAATGTGCACAAAGCATATCCCTCTATAGTTTGTGCTTGTCTTAATCCAGAGTAAGTGTTATTTTTGCCTGCTGCCTTATTACTCTGCTATCTACTGTATATGAGTCATTCTGACACGTTTTCCTGACACCAAGAGAAAAGAAAGGTAACAGGGGAGGGAACTGCAGCACACAGCCTGTGATTGACAGCCTCAGCTCTGTTCCTGTGTGTGTGTGTGGGGGGAGGGAGGTCCCTTCCCTCCAAACAGCTCTGACTGAGCTCTTCAGAGTGTAATTTCTGCTCCCCAATCCCTGTTGTGCACTTTGAATGGCCATAGAGGAGAGAGGGCAGCAGATAAACACATACAATTTATGTAGATTTGTTTAATCTCTGTATCGCCTGAGGCTGGTCAATTCACTGGGTATATGGAAGAGTTTACATCCACTGTAATGCTACAGGACTGTTTTGAATGTAATAACTGGCATATCTTTAAACAGGCAGTGACAAGTGTGGGAGGTGTGGACCTGGAAGAAAATGCATCATCAGTTATGGGCTATATCACCAAGGAGGATGTTACTTCAACTAGAACAATTAGACTTGGGTCTTCAACTTGAAGCTGCAGACTGGACCGAAATTTGGTCTGCTACAAAATTGTCTTCCCAAAATATGGTGGCCGTAGAAATGAACTACAAGGTCCTCCTGAAGTGGTATCTGGTCCCTGCCTGGATTGCTAAATTTCTTTCTTCCTACTCTCCCTCCTGCTTCAAAGGCTGTTCTGAAGCTGGCATGCACCACCTGATTGTTCAAACCTTGTAGGCTGAAATCTTTTATATGTAGCCCAGTGCTGGCTAACTTACCTGTGTCATCGCAAGACATTCATAATAAGAATTATGCTGAGCTAGCGCTCCCTCTAGTGTTTAGCTGTGATAGTGAAATATTATTCATAGGCACAGAGAGAGAGAGGAGGGCCCAAAAAAAGCCGAGGATTGTGGGACATGTGGTTCAGAAGGTTTGATTTGCAGAGGGATCAATACCATTGTGAACTACAAGTTCCAGCCAGCTGGAAGAGGAAGTGGAATCCTAGGAGAGGATATATAAATCAAACCCCAAAGGAAGTGCTTTCTCTTGGGACCACAGGCTGAAGCTGAGAGGAGAGACCCAGCTGCTTGTGAGAGTTTGGTAGGCTGTGCGTCTGGATGGTGTGAACGATCTTCAGTGGGAAAATTACATATCTACAAGCAGATCACCTGTCCCAGCTCCCTGTTGGCAGAGTCACTGTCCAGAGTTGTCTAGTAGCATCACTGCCACAGTTACAGCGGAGTCCCAGTGTCGAATGGGGCTAGGCCTGACGCCCCAAAGCTGTTTGCAGATTCTGTGGGAGCCCTTCCAGGACATCCTGAATCCCATGAGCCGCAGTGTCATTAGGATTGATGAGTGGGCTGAAGCCCACACTGTGTACACTCTTCACTAGGGATACTGCATGCAGACACCATTACCATATGTCTGATTGTAGATCTGTCACCTTTACCTGGAGTCATTTACCATTGCACATTATTCTTTTTGGGCTCTATTGGGCTCAGGATGCTAGTTTCTTCATGACTCTATTTCACTACTCTTCAAGCCAAGGACTCTGTGCCTTACTTTGTGCTTATATTAAAGGGGAACTTTATTTAGAACCTGTTTATAGCATATATTATATGTCTACCTCTCCCAAAGAATGTTGATATTTTCATACCTGTGGCATCAGGATTCTAAGGGAGCAGTCTGACACTGAAGAAAGGTCCTTCTTCTCCCTTTCATACTTGAGGTCAAAGGTTGTCCTTGAATATATTTGAATTACTGTTGACCTGTTGTGTTCACTACTGCAGGTACTTTGTGCTTCACTTTGAGATTAGTAATCAGGTTATTGTCCTAAGAAGTATTTGCTTTAACTGTCTGCAACTAAAGAACCATTAGTAAGTACTCAGTTGTTTACTGCAATTTGGTGTCTATGAAATCATGACTTGTGCATTAGGGTGTCAGGAGGCTTGCAAGGTCAGGGCAACCTTTGGGGACCATCATCTTACAGCGGCCCTCACGAGGGTAAGACTACACATATATTTGCCACCCTGTTTGACTGTCCACTAAACACTGACCCAGCCATAGCCCTGCTTGATACGGTCCTTAGCAGTGATCCAACGTCAGTTTAAATTACTCCTGCAGGTCACTACTGCAGCGATGCAAACCATTGGCTTAGGCCTGGAAATCTCCCCACCCTAGTGTCCTCGAAACCAAACATAGAATTACCCGGGCAATGATACATGCCAAGGTCGAGGCAGCAATCTGGTGAGTAAGTATGAACAACTGTAGAAACCACAGGTGGATCATTTCTTATTAGTGGAGTTTGACAAGACGCTATTAGCACTTTGATACAAATGCTTGTACTTTTGGAGCCTTCCATTGGAACTTCCATTGGGGTTCCCCTTCTCCTCCTCTATCCTCCCCTCATACTTCCCTGCCTTGTTCTCTGTCTCTATTTCTTCTCTTTTCCTTTATCCTCAATGCATCCCGTGGGCTCTCTCCAACCCCAGGTGAATGCTTTCCCTGATTTTGTTGCTGAGAGAATCTGCTAATAAATAGACCAAGGTGGGGTCACCGAACTTATGGCAATACCCACCTTTCCCTGAGATGGCCCAGTCCTGTAACCTCTTTTTCTGACCTTTTAAAGGCTCTCAGCTCTAGGGGCCTCAGTTGTGACTCTGCATCACCTAGGTCATCCGCCCTCCTAGCATTCTGTACTATGGTCTGGACAAGCGTAAGAGACTAACCTTGACTTTACAGATTATAACATGTCTTAAGGCTCTGTTACACCTTAGTAACTATTGTTTTACACTATGTACAGACTATGTTATACTCGCTGTTCTTCCTTCAATACAAATATTTGAACAAAAACTGATCCACTGCAGATGTTATCTTACTCACTTGGAGCATAAAGATTCTTAAGATAAGCTGCCCATAGATTAATTAAAATCTGAACATTTCAGCAGGCGTCCAACTGTAAGAATACAAAT